AAAACTGGTTTTCCAGAAAACCACTCTCTGGAGGCCTAGCAGCACGTCTCATGTTGATATTCGGAATCAGCATGGTCGACTACCTATAGTCCACTAGGTTTCGGCTCGAAAGCGATCGGACAGTTGGAGACCTTCCCTCGTTAGTTTTCTATTTTCCTCCTCGATCATGATAGTGAAAACAGATCTAAAAAACGATTTAGATGAACGAATGGCGTAAACGCACTTTTTGCTGATTGTTCATTTTTTCAGGCCGAGACTTTTTATAAATTGGAGACAGTTTCGCGAGAAAACACTGTGTATATCTCAGAAACGTTTCCTCTATATGATGAGACTGTTTACAAAAAGCTTCCCAATCAAACCTGGGGATTTGATTTTGCTCAGGGACAAGAAGTCAAATCGAAACCTAAGGTTTACGATCAAATTTTTGCCTCACTAGACGACAAGTGTAAAAAGAAAATTCTCACAGGCTAAAATTCAATCTATTTGTTTATATTCCTTAATTTGAACGCATCATCTTATTTTCAGAGATTGATTGTTCAAATGGAGATTGTGAAAATTCAACAGCAGCAGCATCAAATCTATGTCCACCTGATAGCTATTCTATCGAGGATTTATCGTCATCACCCGTCAACTCAACATGTTGTTCCTCACCTGGCTATTGCCGATGTTCACCGTGTGCTCGGACAATATGTGGTGAAGATTCAAGCATACAAATATTTCGAACGGGTACAAAATTACCGGGAAATTGTTGTGATCAATTTCATTGCATAAAGAGTAGGTAAACATTGTTCGTAATACTTTGATAATATTAAGATAACGCCTAAATTTGATGATATATTTTTTAGGTACAAAAGCGTGTCATCATAATAAAAAAATATATCACGAAAATGAGACATGGACAATTGATCATTGCACGACATGTACATGTCGGGGTGGCCTTGTTGATTGTAATATGGTACAATGTCCAGCAAATCCACATTGTGGCTACATGTACAAACCAGAAACAGAATGTTGCCCAAAATGTGCTGGTTAGTCGACGTTATTTTTTTTCTTAATGCTATGAGATATCTAAGTATTGAATCAGATTTTTGTCTATGTTTATCCTTCTTTTCTTCTAGGTTGTTTAAGTGATACATTACATATTCAAGAAATAAATTCAACATGGATTGAATCAAATGGTTGTATTAAATGTTTTTGTGAAAATGGTCGCTCTCGATGTTTTGTTGAAGGTTGTATAGCACCACCATGTGAAAATCCGCGACAAATAGCTAATGTTTGTTGTCCCGTGTGTGACGATCCACCAGAATATCATCATTTAATTGATCAAGTACAGCATAAAAATCCACATAAATGTCCATTGTTAACAGCCGATTGTAAATTAGAATGTGAACATGGTCTATCAAAAGATGAACGTGGATGTTTGATATGTCAATGCTTAACAATGACTTGTCCATCGTTTTGTACTTTGAAGTATAAAACACAACATCAACAATATTGTCAATGTTACCCACCATCACCCTCTTCAACTGTAGAACATCTTCCGTTCTATAATTGTACACAATTTAATTGTGATAAAAATTGTCCATATAATTATAGTGTTGATCAACAAACAGGCTGTCCTTATTGCGAATGTAATCCATGTCCCATATTATCGTGTACAAAGAATTGTTCCTATGGATTAAGAACCAATGAAGTTGGATGCCCTATATGTGTTTGTGAAAGCAGTATGTAGTTGTGGTTATTTTTGATTTTCCTAAAAGAATACGTAATAAAGCGTATATCATCTTTCCAGGTTCAAAAGAGAGTATAAATAACGCACTTCTGAATGGAGATGGTGATATTGGATGGCCGCGACAGTGTCAATCCGGTCATTACTCTTATTCAAATGGCGAAATATGGTTTGATGGATGTCGACAATGTCTCTGTCATAGAGGAGAGCAATACTGTGCACTTATTTCATGTCCAGTACCAAAATGTTTAAATCCAGTATTACATCATAACAGATGCTGTCCATCGTGTCCAGGTAGAGTTCTTTGACTAAGAATTGACCAATAATTATAATCCAAATTTTTACTTGTTCTAGGCTCTCAAAATTATATTGAGCCAGCTACAAGTCAAGTATGTTATCAAGGTGTTAATTCAGCGTATGTTAGCGGTGAAGAATTAGAATTTGATAAATGTACAAAATGTGTGTGTCTGAATGAAATAGCATTTTGTAGTGTTGCTTTTTGTCCGCCGTTACGTTGTTCAAATCCAATATATAATTCAAGTTTATGTTGTCCTGTATGCCCATCATCAGCGAAATTTGGGATACCATATGTGGATAATGTAAGTGGCCCAAGTGAAATATGTTTACTAGAAAATGGTTTAGAAAAAAACGAAGGTGAACTATGGAAGCCAAACGATTGTGAATCGTGTATATGTTATCGTGGTAAAGTTGAATGTTTTTTACAAACATGTCCACCATTGTTAACATGTCCGAATCCAGTGTTAAAAAAAGGACAATGTTGTCCATATTGTATACAACAGAAGAAAATATCTGTCTGTGTATTCAATTATGTACAGTATAGATCAGGAGAACATTGGAATGTAAGTATATTATTAAAAGAAACTACATTTCTACCAATAGTTATGTAATATTTATCATTCTAGGTAAGTGATTGTCATCGTTGTGAATGTTCATTTGGCAACATTGTTTGTCATCAACATAAATGTCCAGCACTCACATGTATACATACAGTTACATTGCCAGGAAATTGTTGTCCGATATGTCGTGACCAATTACCATTCTATGCACAACAACAGAAAAGTATGTCATTAGGTTAGAATTGTTCGATAAACGAAGATTTCAGTTATAATAATAAGAAAAAATTAGCTGGATAAAGCCCTCATAAAGTTACAAAATATCTTAGAAATAACTTAAGAGAGAGTAGGGATAAAAGGTGTAATACCTTATGATTGATACTTACTGGTATTTTTTAGTTCCAATAACAAATCCTTCAATTGAAATCACCATTATACTTGGTATATTTGCCGCATTGATTATCATTCTTGTTATTATTGTTACAGTATTGATCATAATTATTCTTCGACGTAATACTCCTAGGTCCTCCAATGATAGTCATCACACACATGTGAATGGGGCTGTAGAAAACAGTATATGTAGTGGAGGTGGCAGTGGTGATGAGCATATTTCAACAACACATACAGCTAGTTCTAATATATCTAAAGGATCATCGAATGATACTTACTCGTATGTAAAATATGATCTAATTTCAAAACAAACGTTAACAACATCATCAAATCAATTATTGATGGATCGCGATTTCCATCACCAACAACCGATCATCGATTCATCCACATCCGTTCAAATGACAGAGACAGAAGCGCTAACCGAGGGTATATTTGATGAAAACGAAGAAGATCTCCAAGAACATTGTTTTATTGAACGATCATCAAATAGTCGAAGTGATGATCAGGATGATAATGATTCGATTGAACCACAACAGTCATTAGTGCAACCAACCATTATTTATGTATAAAATAAACTTCTTATCTTCTTCCTATGTACAAAGTAGTGTTCTTTTTGAGAGGGGTATTGGTAGAGTGTGCAAGAATTAGATCTCAGGTTAGTGCAGTTGTCTCTCGTTGCTCTCGTTCTATTTATTTATTGTCTCTCTCTCTTCTCTCTCTCGATTGCTCGTAATATATATTTATATATAGAATCTACAAGAAGCTACTCAGATATAGTCACCTAGACAAAAAAACAGTGTTTTCTTTTTTTTCGTTTGCTTGCGTACTCTTTTGTATATTGTTATTTTTAAGTGAAAAAAAGATACATTGTTTACTTTTGTTTTTCATTTTGATTATTTTACTATTCGCTTATAATGGCTACTGGTCCCTGCCTTTCTCAAATTTTATTAATAAAAAAGACAGGGATTTTTACTATACTGTACAACTTATCACTTTTGATTGAATCTGTATCAATTTGTTGTAAACCAAGATAAGCCGAATTGTTATTCAGTGTGTTAAAGGAGGTGATAAATGTTATCTTGAATGAACTAGCCAGTGGTGAATTATTCTCTTTTCCATTGTCCAACAGCTGGCTGATTAATCTGACTAACTATGACATCATTTGAACCAAATGCTATTGAGAAATTGAGTGGAGGCGGTGAGGATTTTTTTATGCTATATAATTTCTATAAGTCACTGATGGAGCAATATTTCCGAAAAGAATTAAAAAAACATGTGGAAGAATTATCTGTTATGACTTCAGAATCGGGATCCAAACTTACATACGAAAATCTGATCATAAACTTACCGAGAAAAGCTGCTTAGGCCCATACACAATTCAAAATCAGCATATTCGATTAAGTTGCTCGGCGCAAAGACCTCACTAACATATCCGCTGCCTTTAACTGGGATTTCCAGTGTTAAGACTGTAGTTCAATTCAGTTCATCTTCCAACTTCAAAGAATGCTAGCTTTCGCTTATTGATCTTACCCTTCTAATTTCATGTATCGGAGATATCACTGTTAACCCATGTCGACGAAATCGTGGCATTTTTAACAATTAATCGCAATTCTTGAAAAATCGTTAATTAGTTGCGATTAATTGTTGATTTTAAGCGATTAAATGGTTATTATTATTCACCGTTTTATGTTGCAGTAAACTATGTATATAAGAAACACGATTTCAACGAGGAATACACTTCTATTTAGATCATCTTTTTATTTTAAAGTAAAACGGAGTTGTCAAGAGTCTTCTGTATGGTACCCTCAGAGCTTTAAGCCGAGGAGCGTCGTGAATAGCTGGTATCCTAGTAAATATACTCGAGTCAAGTACTTGGGTTAAGTAATCAGGACAGTAATTGTTGACTTTTCCAACTACTTGTCAAGTACTTGAGAAAGTACTTGACAAGTAAAATGTAAGTACTTGGCTGTCACAATGCAAGTAAACTTACTTCAAAAGCTTCAGTCAAATATACTTATTCCGTTTATCTTCATTTTGTATTTTGTACGTATTCTGCAGGCATATTCGACTTTTATAGAGCAAATACATGCATGGCTACTAAGTTTGTTCAACTCAGTAGAAATATATTATTTTATTTTATAAGTGTATAACGATTGATATTGTGGTGTTTGTATACAAGCGGTCAATGGAAAAGAAAAGAGCGACTTGCTTGTCCAAGTACTTGGCTGAAGCAAGTCGTCAAAAAAATCGTCAATTAATCGCAAAAATCATCTGAAAATCACCAAAAACTCGACGATTAATCGCATGATTTCACGATTAATAGCCGATTTTTAGTACATGTGTAAGTAACCTTTTAAAATCAGATGAGGTAATTTCTCTTCCGTCCTCCTCATTCGGGATGTTCGCTTCTCGGTTTCGGTTCTCTAGTTAGAACCCAAACGGTAGAAACCAGAGATAGGCAAGTCCAAGTCCAAGACTGAAAAAATACCGGACTTGCCTATCTCTGATAGAAACTGCGGTTCCAGTTCCGAACTTAGAACAGAACCGCGGTTCTCAGCTTAGAACCAGAAATTTTTTTTCAGGCAGTAATAATTCAACGAAATAGAATTCATTTTATAGTAAACGACAGGATTCTTTTAGATGATGACAAGCAAATATACCTTTTTTGTGGCAGTGTCAATAGTGTGTTTTCATTTTGTTAAGAGAAACAAAGCGACAAGTCAAGAAGTCGGCATCCGGTTCCGATTCCTGTTGATGTGCCGAAAATAAGAGAATAGCGGTTCCGGTCCGAACATCCCTATCACTACTATATAGCTGAAATCGCCGGAAATCAAAACGTTATTTTATAAAAGACAATCAGTGTACACGCGAAAGTTCATTTTCAATTATCAAGCCTTATACAACCCGGCAACTCCTGGTTTTCTTAGCTCTCATATTCCATCCTACAGCCTAAACGGACCGCAAACATCAACTAAACATTGTACAATTGGGAAAATGAGGATTAATTGAACCAGTATTTTAAGCTTCTTTTCGAGTCCTTTCTTATTAAAATACATGACATGTAGCACCATGGCATGTGAAAGGTCGAGAAACATAGCGTGAAAAACACTTAGACTACAACGATTTCCTTATGCAAAATTTTGTTGATGAGCATGAGCACTATTGTCTGTGCATGTTTTAGCTAGATTCTCTGTAAACTAGCTCCATGACATCCGTTGAGTGATTTGCGAATAGTTTCGCCAGTCAATGGCTGTTCAGCGAGATAACATTATCCTGTCACATATCATCAGATCATATAATAAAAAAGCTTTTGAGCGTTGTAATCTTCTTCGTGCCATTGCTGCAGAACGTTTACGTACATAGCAGCTAGTCTTGCGCTTGAGATCATTTTCTCATTAAGCATTACTCTCTTCTCTTCTAAAAAACAACAATTCACTCTGGTTTGCTAACTCTATAATTCGGTTCAAAACCTCACATCACTCTAACCGTAAAACATAAACGAATTATTGGTCCTACTTTAGTTGGCGAATATGTTAGTTACCAGAATCGTAGGATAGTTTTCTCTGTGTGTTGCAAAAACCTTTCTCGTCGCTAAGTTTCAATGTTCACGGCTTTATTCGGATCACAGCTTAGACACTTCATCTCAAACAAGCACTTTCAGTTAAGAGTCGTCAATGAAGTGGTAGGAAATGTCCAGCTTCGGAGTATTAAAAACGTCTAAAAACCACCATCAACTTTACAACATATTTGGAGAGCACATTTCGTAAGACAAGTGCGAATATAAGACTTATCCCTCTACGATCTTGATGCCCTGACACTTCTAGATGTATTCTGTCTAGAGATCAGGTCTGATTTTTGAACCTTAAAACTGTACAACAGAGAAAAATGCAGCGAAAAAAGTCGTTTAATGTTTTTCACCTTTTGATATTACCAAGAGAGAAAACTACAAAAATAGCTTGGTAAAAAACAAAACCCTGGTTAAAACATCATAGTAAGATCCTATCAAATCCTTCCTTGCACGGTACTCCATGTAAACAACAGCAAGAACATTTGATACCATCATCGCCTTTTACATCATTTAAGAATAGTAGACGACGGAAGTCATTATTATCAGAAAAGTCGAGATTCTCAATATATTTTGTAGCCCACTGAGAAAAACTATTTGGTTTTAATTTGTACAAAGTAGTGCTGAAAAATTTCTGTGACCAAATATTCTACAAAGTATAACACTTGTTGTATGGTTTTAGATCTCTGTGAATTGATATGACTGATTCTGTTGCAGTTCCAGTTCCAATCCCCACACCATTTGTGAATAATTTTTTTACCTTAACCCATCAGTTCTATGCTGATCATCGTTCAGCAATTCTAATTGCGACTGGCACAGTATTAACGGGATGGTTGTACAATCTTTTATGGGTTAATCGTCGTCTAAGCTCAAGTTCAACATTAATGACGAATAAAACAGTAGTAATCACGGGAGGTAGTTCAGGGATTGGCTATGAGACGGCCAAAGATTTAGCTAGACGAGGTGAGATGGATGTGTGTTGTATTACATGTATATTGTTTTCTCGTTGTTGTTTAGGTGCTCGTCTTATTATCGTTTCCCGTAATCCTAAAAAAGGTCAAGCAGCCGTCGCCAAACTACGTGATAAATCTGGAAATAAACAAATTGAGTTTATGCAATGCGATTTATGTTCACTGGATTCTGTGAAAAATTTTTGCAATGCATACAATGAAAAAGAATCCAGATTAGATGTATTAATTAATAATGCAGGTAAAAATTAGAAATAGCAAATTTTTTCAACAATAGTTTTTTTCCATCTGACATTATATAGTTGTATTTAATATGAATGATGAATAAAATACATAATATGTATTTTATTTATCATTTGTCATCACCTGATGATTTTTATTTTTTGATAATTATTGTTTTTAGGTATTTTGTTCGGTCTCGATGTAGTTACGAAAGATGGTTACAATTCCATAGTTCAAGCAAATTATTTGGGTCACTTTTTGTTAACAAATTTATTATTAGACAAACTAAAACAATGTAAACCATCTCGAATTATTAATGTATCGTCTAGTATACACAGTAGTAAGTGAACATGATGTTCACTATTTTTCTATATAATAGCATCTTTTTTGTTTGTTTCTGGAATGAAACATGTGGAATGGAATGATGCTTTTTCACAGTTTAAGAATAAAAAACTTTTTGGTTCATACTGTACATCGAAAGCATTTCAAATTATGTTCACTAAAAAATTGAAACAAGAACTTTTGAAAGGTAAACTAGATATTGAATAGTATATATAATGGAAGAGTTAACTTTTCCACGTATGTTATAGATGATGTGAACTCATTTTCATTAACTCCTGGATGGGTGTGGACTTCAATAGAAGATCCATTGTATGGAGCTGTTGGTCTGTTACGTTTTGTCATATTTTATCCATTACTTTATCTGGCAAAAACATTCTTTGCTAAAACATCTAAACGCGGCGCACAAACAATAATTTATTGTGCCGTGGCATCTGAACTGATCAATTCAAATGAGATTTATTTCGAGTATGTTGTGAGAGTCTGCAACAGGCGGCTTATAGATGATGCTAAAAATGTTCACGTTTTTTTTCTTTTTAGAAATTGTTCACCACAACAGCCGAATCAAATTTGTCTTGATGCACAAAATATTGATCGATTATGGAAAGCAAGTTGTGAAGCAGTTGGACTCTAGTCAAATAAACTTGGTTATTTTAATGTTTTCTCTTTATGATTTATTTGTAAATCACTCTTTCCCTTTTCATACGTTCAAATTTTTTTTTCCTTTCATTCTATAAATTAGTCATGACGAAGTAGACAACAACTCCAAGTATTGATCCTTTGAGCAATTTGTGTTAGTTTATCGAAAAATCACGCACGATTGTGGGACCAGTCTTACTGATCTTGAGTAAGCGCGTTCCATACAAAGCCAACAGTAAACCAAAACCGTTTAACTGTCTGTGGTCATCGCTATGATTGATGCCCAGGACTCTGTTTCACCTAACCTTAAAAATTAGTGCCTATTCTAAATACTACACAAACGCGAACATCTGTAGCAGCTTTAAAAAATTAGATGTACAACTTCTTCAGATTCCGTGTTTACAACTCCAACAATTTCTTATTTTATTCAGAATCTATTCACGAAACACTTTTTGACCTGGAA